GGAACATCTTTATGGTGTTTATTTGGCTGTTTGCCCAGGGAAGCACTGGTTATTATGGATATGGACAAACATAAGAAACAACTGGCATTCACCATTAGATAAAGTGCCATCTTGGGAAATGTATCATCTGCTTATCAGTGGAGTGGCTGTAAGATTTATCAAGCAAAATGTACCAAAGAAAGTTAAACGTTCCACTATGAAAAGGCCTTTCAATTTACTGCTGAGATTCACCTGTTCTTCTCAGTCATGTTTATCCACTTTCTATCTGTCTCATTGTACACCTAAAGAAACTTTGTCCATAGTGGTAAGTATAGTATTCTCAGAAACCATATGTACTGTACAATAGTACAGATATGATGATGTTTTTGGTGCACTTGTACATGGATAAGTCATAGTACATGTGTATGAATTGCTTAAGCTAATGGGAACATGTGAATGCAAGGCACTTTTTTCATATTTAAATGTCTGGTTTCATATACTTTGTGCTCCAGAAGGAGGAAACAGGCAGCACGTGTCTCCCACTTTTGTGTGGCAGGCGATGTGACATCGTGTTGCCCAGGGAGACGGTGAGATATCTGCAGAGGGTGAACATTTGTGAGAGCTCACTTTTGTGGAGGGAGGATGTGGACCTTTTGAAGCTTCATCACACTGGGAAACTGTCACTCACACTGCTGAGAGATGGACTGCTAGATAGGTAAACACACTCACATATGCAAAACACACACACACACACACACACACACACACCGGCTCAGTTTGTAGATACCTTCTGCTAATCTTTAACTGCTTTATAGATGAGACACCAGGGAAGTTATTAAATTCTTACCTGAAAGCACATTCAGTGAATGCAAGGTCTGGATGTTTAATGTTGAACCAACACTGATTACAGGTGGCGCTGAAGCACACATACATGCAGACCACAAACATATCCAGACACAGTAGGTTCTGTGCAATGCAATGCAAAAATGAGACAGAGTATGTTTGGGTGTGTATTTCAGGCCTGCATGTGTTGAAACCTCATGACCCAAAGAGGAGTTACATTTATGCAAATGTCTCGAAATCATCACTCCTGCCCATACAGTCAGTCTATATCTCCTTCACCCCCTGTCTTCTCGCTCTCCCAGCTCTGAGCACCGCACTCTGGAGTCCTGCATCCTACGAGTGGTCTATCACGACAGACAGCAGGACACTGCTGATGATAGGGCAGTGTCTGCGGTGGCAGCAGTCACCAGGGAGATTCTTCAAGAAGCAGCAGAGCACATCGGACCAGCGCTGAGGGAGAATCTTGGAGGTGAGGGAGGCGCAGACGCCCCCAGGGGGAGTAATGGGGCAGTGAAGGAGGACACACACAAATCCCCTGATATGACTCGCTTAGCACCCACCAGGAGAGATGGAGAAAGAGAGAGATGTGGGGTGGTGAGTGTGAGTAAAGAACAGCTCAGAAAGACACAGTCCCATTTTAAGTTAGTCTGTTAAGTTGTTTCTGTTTTGTCAGTAGTTGAAATATTTGAAGGGTAAGGAAGGTCAGAAATAGAGAAAATGGTAAAAAGGAGGAAGGGGCAGAGAACAAAACTGTGATTTTTGTTTGTTTGTTTTTGCCTGTTTACAACAGATGTACAACTCCATAGTCTCACTACAGAATGTGTTTATGTATGTTGGCTTAGGTAAACTAATGTGTAATAACATGCATTGTTAAATAGATGGTTTATTGCCTTTTAATAATTCAAATTTCTTGTTAAGCAACTGAGTAAAGGTTGGGCAGGAGACATGACTGACCCCTGTTCAGTAATACTCTGCTACTTCTCTGTCTCTCACTGTGCTTCACAGAAAGATAGACAGATGGAGAATGGGCAGATAGATGAAAAGTGAATTAAGGTGGATTGAGTGAGAGGAGCAAAATGCAGAGACAGAAAAAAGGAAAGTTGATTAGAGCAGGAGAAGGAGGTACTGTGTGTAATCCAGTTCTCATATTTCATTGTGAGAGTTCTTTGGACAGAGCATTTTTAGGTTCATTGATTCCTAAAGAGGTTAGTTGCTCAACTCTCTTCCTGATCCTCATAAACTCTATTCAAAGGAAAATATTACCAGAGGACATTTAAAGCGTTTCATTGGTTTATATACAGTACTAGGCATTTTTCTTTTATTTACAGAACCCCCACAATGTACTATAGACTTTAAAAAGCCTGGCCTGTTTTTGTCCAGCTAGTGTCCTCATTCAAGGACTGATAAGTCACAAAATGGTTGGCTTTACATTTTCCTCCAGAATAAATGAAATTGATGTTGTAACTAATTATTGTATTGTACATTTTCTACATATTATTGTTTTGTGCTGTCACTGATTAGACACAGTGGGTAATATTAAACATCAAGGTAGCTCACAAATTTATAATCCTAAATATTAGCTACCTTTTGTGGTAGTACTTGTACACAGACAGTATAAAATCTTAACATTTACTGAACTTCCCCCAATACAAATACACATGCCACTCAAGCTTGTAGATAAGTTTCTAAAAAGGTAGAAATTCATCAGCAGCTCTGCCAAAATTGGTAGGTTGCGCCAGTTAGTATTACTGAACCCACCTACAGTGAACATGAAGGTGTATGAGAGCCACAGTGTGCATGTTGGACATACCCATATGTGTTTGTGCAACTACAGAGGCCTTGCGGCTGCAAACTGAAGCTTTGTGGATGAAACATGGCCGCCGGTCAGTGCAGCTGGATGAGCTCAAGAGATCCCTGGAGCAATGGAGAGATGTCCCTGCAGGTCAACCTGGTGAGGAGAAGCTGCAATGTATGTATTAGAACATGTAGAGAGGTTGGGATTTAATCTATTACAGTAGAATCCATACGTAGCATTTATAGCCCATGTCTCGTGCCTTACCTTTGCCTTCATGCTAGTTAATAATGTAGATATTAATTGTATCTGTCATTCTCATTATATTGCCATCTCATACAGGATTCCCAATATTTTAGAACAGAGCAAATAACTGCAGCAACAGCTGAAGCTTCAATTATAGTTAATATTTTAATGGCATATATTGTATTGCCATAGCATAGCATTAGTAAAGCACAGGTGTGCTAAGTAAATCAACGATGGCTCCAGAGAGTCATGACCGTGATGCAGCATGCATAACAGCAGGACCCTGAATGTGGTTACACCAGTTACATTCGAGTCCTTCCTAAATAACTAGTTTTAAACTAGTCAGCTACCAAACTGGGTTGCACTGTAACGTTATGTAAGAAAGGTCTTATACCTAGTACATACATCAGTAATCTGTAAATTAGCTGCATATTAACATCTCTACAGCAGTCCAATCAAAAACGGTGAACTATGTAAATAGCAGACCTCTATAGTACGGTTGTTTTATTATAAGAAGTGGATACTGGACTCAGTGATGGTGCCCATTCACTTAAATGAATAATGCCCACTGAGGGCATACGTATGCCCAAATAGCTTTTTAGTTTCATGGTTTGCTTATATGTTGCGCAGCCCCATACACATGCACATGTGTTTCTCCCACTCAGCCCATAGACCTTAAAGTGAGATGATGTGATGCACATAAAAAGCTTTCCGGTGCTCTGAGAGAGTTTTTACAAATACCAATCTTTTATGGATACAAAGAATAATAAGTCACATTGTTTGCAGGCCACTTTTATAGATGTTTTTCTTGTAATGTGCTTCAGAGTTAGTGGAGCTGTCAGTCAAGCACAGCATGTGTCTTCACAAAAGATCTAATTAGGCACCATAATTGAAAACATCTGTGTGAGTGGACTGCAGGGCTTTAAACAAGAAGGGACGCACATTTACTACTTACTCTCTCTGTATTCTGCCTTTGACAAAGCTGTGAAATCACACAATTGCTAAACGCTGGAGATAATGTCTGTAGCGGCACATTTTGCTCACTGGCGAATTGTATTGCAGCATCCTTTCAGTTAACCTCTCACTCCTGGAGAGTGCATTCATGCTTCTGTTTTTTTTTTTCTTGTGTGTTGTGAAATTGTTTGGTATTCCTTTGTGTGTGTATATAACTGTTAGTCTGTTTGTGTGTGCTGACTGGATGTAGACTTGGAGCAGCTGCTGACTAAGGAACTGAAGGAGTTTTCTGATGGAGAGATGACCATAGCTCTGTCTTCAGTAACCACCGATAAGGAGGTAAGAGTTTCATATGTTTAAAAAAAGTGCTTATAATTCCTTATGGTTTTTGTTCAGTGAAATAAAATACAAATCTATTTGACAATAGAATTTAAGGATTTTTTTTTTTAAATGTGACGAGCTCTCTGAATGATTGAAGGTGGAAGAGAGTACTGACTTTGTTTAATTAAGGATAAATTGAACCCAGCTGTGCAAGGCAGAGAACCCAATAATGATGGTGTTAATTTATCTGAAGCACAGTTGATGAATCATGTCAAGTGGGAGAGAGCTTCAGGTTTAAAGACCCATTCCATGTCAATAACATTTAGTGTAAAGACAATTTACAACTTCATTAAATATGTGTTCATGTTAGGTCATAATTAAATAGGAACTCTTAACACAAAAGTATTTTAGGAGACCTTTCTAAGTACATGATAACAATTCAAACTATGAAAATGTTAAATATTCTTACAGCTTAAAAATCCATGTTATATTCTCCTTATATGTAAAGTATGTATGATAACATAGAACCTGGGTAATTAATACATTTACTGCTACAAGTAATGGTCTCATTACTGCTTCATTGTTTCTTTTAAATATGTCAGTTTGCTCAAAGAAGCTCATGATGATTTACATTGTCTTTTCAAAGAGACATGGCAAATAAACTTTAAGTAACTTTTTAAAACTGACGTTTTTGGAAATCTCACAGCTGCACTGTGTCATTTTGGGGAGGTTTTGTTATGCAAGTGGCCCCTGTGATGTTGTGATGTTCTGCATTTGGATGAGATGTAGATGGAGGCCACAGAGCCTCACACACAACCAGGTATCTCCTTCCTTCCCACTGATATCCCAAAATCCGGAACACACTCTCAAACGCACTCAAACACAGATCTACACGCGTTTGCGGAATATTTGTGTTGACGTCTCTGTCGTTGTCATGTTCTTCGTCTTCGCATTTACAATCTCACACACACACACACACACACACACACACACACACACACACACACACACACACAGAGGGTGCTTTAAGCCTTTAAGCCTAGCCCTTGCTTTTCTCCCTGCTGTAACTTCTAATGTGTTCCCCCCCCCCCTAAAAAAAAATCATTCATTATTTTTTTTATATCTGAGTGCTTGCCTAGCGTGCAGTATTAGGCTATGTGTAAAATAAATGATGTCTGTAGCCGTAGGGGTATGGCTCCGACTCCCCCAGAAAACTACCTAACGTCCAAGGAACATTAAACACCCAGATCCTCGTTTAGCGAATAAATAACCATTCATTTGAATGGCTTTTTCTGTGTGTGCACCGGACTTTCTGTGCATATTTTTCCAGCACTGTGCCTACATGCTGTGTGTCAGGAGTGAGACAGAAAGAGAGAGAGAGAGCAAGAGAGGGCCCATTAGAGACTTAATATAGAATAAATGGCCAGGGGCCTGTGTGTCGCCAGCGGACCCTCCAACTCCACAGCGTCATGGTGGGTTACTAATGACCTGAGATCGGGCTCCAAAATGAACTCCTTATATGCATGTCATTTGCAGTGTGTATATATTTATATATTATTTTTTAATTGTGTTTGAAAAGAGACTAAAACGGTATGAGAGTGTCATTTATTGCGGGGGCTTAGGGAAGTTCTGCCTTAAATGATTCTTTTTCCAGAAAACTAAATAAATTAGATTCAATTAGTCTTTAATGGTTTATGTGTTATATGTTTGTCAAAGTGTGTTTTTGTCTGTGTGTGCGTTTGGTAGCAGTTAAAGACGACAGAGTAAGATTTTAGGATAAAAAAAAAAAAGCTCTGGTTGTGATTGCCTAGTTAGCAGAAGAAAAAGCTTTAGCGCGTGTGTGGTGTAACGATATGGACACATCGTATAGACTGACTAATGAATTTTTGTATACTGTACAAACATACATTAGTCAGTCTGTGTGCTCTCCTATTATGGAAGAGAAAAGTGGAAATGAACTGAGTTTTATTCTTGCAAAATCACAGTGCCTGTCTCGATGTTTCTTTGTATCATTTGTATCTGCTCATCAACGTGTGCTACATTCGCCACAAAGGAAAATATTTCTTCAGCTCCTCAAACAATAATTCCATGTTTGACTACAAAGGCACGAAAATAATGTTCAAGGATGACTGTGAAAAAAGTTTCCCCTGATGGTGAGCATGAGGTTAAATATTATGAAATTGTCTCTGAGGCTATGTGATGGTCTTTTATAATACAGTATGGACGAAAACAGGTAGGCTATGTAGAAAACAATGCTATGACAGCAGCAAGCAACGTATTTGTCATGCAAGCTTGCTTTTATGCATTCATTATAGCAGTCCTCTATATCTGAGAAGGAAATTTTTCTGACTATCAGCTATAGCAATTGCTTGTTCTTTTATTAAATGCTTATTTTTCTGTTACCATCATTTTGCTCCTGTTACAACTACATCTGTACTGAGCATGTTCTCTTATTGTTGAAGTGCATACATGTAGATTCATTTACTTTCTTAAGGCTCTGTGTGCAGTATTTCTGTTTTCCTGAAGAAGAATGTCTAACAATTACCATCTATAGTTGGTGAATCTTAAGTGAGGAACTAAGAAAACTACTCGGTGTATCTGCTCCAAATACATCTACCATCAAAACACGGTTTAGTGTTGTTTAAATATACAGCCAACACAGCCCCATGGGTTAAAACACAGCAGGGAGTTGTCTTTGCCGGACCACTGATATTGCGAAACAGCTTTTACCTTGATGAGAAATATCATCATGTTTAATATCACGAGGCCACACCCCTAGTAAATACAAGCTACTTTTCAATCAGTTCATGCTGTTATTTTGAACAATGGATTATGCTTTGATTGGTTTGGGCTAGACTTCTGTGTTAGAAATTATTAGTAGCCTTCATTCATGTCCAGTTAGTATGTGTTGTTTCGTGACATTTTATGTTATAACAGACGTGTCCCTTATCTCTCATAACATCTTCTACATAAAGCTTGTTTTATGTTTGTAACTGTGGATGTTAGTGGAAATTGTCAGTCCACAAAGTGAAGTATTTTCTTTTGTGTGGTCAGGCCAACTACATATGCTGTACTACATAGCATGCACCACTAAAAGATCGCCACTTTGTCCCTGCGTACAGGAAAACACAGTTGAATGGACAGGTAACAGCACTGTGTCAACTAGCAGAAGAGTCACCACAGGAGCTAGCAGGGGTCAAGTGCCTCGCTCAAGGGCACTGATGTGCATTATCGCATGTACATCACCTGTAAAAATGGCAGCTAGCTAAGTGGATACATGGCAGTACAGAAGTCGGTGGGCTTTTCTTGGAGGTATACAAGGTTTTGTGTAATACATACATGAAGCTCAAATGAAGAAACGCACAAACCCACTGAAAACTCATCATCCCCATATTCATGCCAGTCAGTATGTGTTTGTGTATCTGAGGTTTTCATGGCTCAGTAATTAGCACTGGCAGATGAAGCTTTGGTGGGATGAAGAGCTGTCATGCTGTGGAGTTGATGAACTGTGGGAAGGACAGGAGCCTGCAGCCACATACAGTATACAGTCATGAATATGTGACTAATGTGCTTTTTGTGCATGTGTGTTAATATGGACATCTAAGTATTACAATATATTTGAGTTCTTTTAGTGTTTTTCAAGCAGAAGAAAGGACAAGTGGGGAAAAAAGTTTGCATCTTGGTTTGATCTCTAACATAAATGTGGCCTAATCCAGTGTTCCACCAAGATATTTTAATAATTGCAGTGCTGTTTGTTTTCTCTGTGTGGTAAACAAAATCAATCTTTTGCTCTGTGTGTGTGTCTACTGTAACTGTGTGTATCTGCTTATAGGATAAAGCATCTGCATACAAGTTAGCGTTATTTTGGATGTTGTGTACTATTTCTGTTTTCATTGATAAGGGTTTGTGTTGTTGATGTAGATTTGTTCATTTTATTTTTATCTGTGTGTATGTGTATGTCTTCATCTCACCATCTGAGGTTCGCTTTAGGTTTCATGTTGGCAACGTTGATTGTCTCTAATGCGTTGTTTGTTCACAGTCCTCCGGCCCTTCTGTTTGTTTATGCTGGGCCAGTTTTGCCCTGCGCCACTTGCACAAATAATTATGCTCGCTAATGAAGGGGCCTGCAGCCACAGCACTCGGTAAATGCCTTTCTGATGAGAGGCACTAGGAGACAGCAGGTGCAGGGTGGGCCTCCAAGGGACTAAGATTGAAGACCAGGAAGCCAGGCTGCCCCGCCCCTGCAAGTCTCTATCTGTCTGTTCCTCTCTGACTTCCTGGTTTGATCTTTCTTGCTCTGCAGTGATTTATTTTGGGGGGGGGGGGGGCGTGACGTGATATTATTTTTGCTTCGTTAGCCATGTCAAATTGTGGATCAAATATTTTAGCTCTAAATCTGCATGTATACAAAATATTCTGTTTACTGAGATTTGCTGATGCAATTTTATTACTTTGTTCAGTGTTGTTTTTGTTGTGGATCTTTCCAAAATTTAAACAGATTGGCAGAATACAAAGATGTACAGTATATCACTTTTAAAATCTGTGACATATACATGTCTTGGAAACCTGCTACACCAGACAATCATCACATTGTATGTTCAGTAACTTGCACTGATGTTTTTCTCTCATCTTTTTTGAAACTCATTTTGTCTTTCTCCATTTTCATTCTCCGCCTGAGGCTTCCTTGAGCTTTGAGGGCAAACAAATAAACAAAACAAAACATTTATAGACTCAGTGCTTGCATCTTGGCCCCTAAATCCCTACACTTAGAGCTGAGTGAATGAAGCATGTGGAGAAGGCCCATATTAGATAGACAGACAAAGACATTTGAGTTTCTTTCTCTGCAAACTTTTATACCCCCTCCCCTTTCCCCTCTTGTTCCAAAAACTTCCTAACCAGTGAACGTGTGTGTGAACAAGACGAGCATTATGACTGTTTGTGAGCCCGTGTGTGTGTGGTTAAGTGGTATACAGTATGTTGCACATGTGTGCGCGTGTGCGTGTATTTGCATGCGTGTGTTTGAGCAGGGTGGTGTCAGCTCGCTCCTTGCCACCCCATTTGCTGTAGCTGTACCGCTGTGATCACAGACAGATGTATAAATCAAACCTCGCTTGATGGATTCATCAGGGTGGCGAAACGATCGCCTGAGAAGAACTTGCAACTCTCTTAGCATTCTGTGTTCTGACGGAAAGGGTATGCAAAGAGCCTAAATGGATGAACGCTTGATTAATTCTTTGCCGGAGATGTTGGCGACAGCAGGAAATGTGTTTTTGCTTTGACTGTGTTTGCACGGGAATTTACGCGCGCGGGGTGTGAGTTATGAGGCCCGAGTTTTGTACCTAAGGCTATTGTGCATAATGATGGCAGGTTGGGAGAACTGCAAGCAGCCGCTAAAGACTTGCTACCTGTGGAGCAAAGACAACCAAAGAGAGAGAGAGTCTGTGTTTGTGTTGGTGTTTGTGTGGACTGGGGCCTAGTAGTATGGGAGAAAGTTGCAAAATGTGAGAGCAAGATAGGCAGGGGCAAAGTGTGACAGAAAAACAATGACACACAAATGAGGAAGAAAAGATAACCAGAGAAGATTTGGGTAAACATAAAAGTTGATGCCAAAAAACAGGACAAACACACAACACATAAGAATACACTTGAGAGAGAATAATTCCCTGTTCACACATATTTTCTCTTTGTTACACATGATACTAAACAACCTGTTTATGACCCTTCATTACATTGGCCAAGGTAAATATCTGGTCCCCAGACCTGGGTCAGGAACTGTAGTCTCACATGGTTCTGTAAATAGAATTGTTGCCTTGGTGCTTTCATTAAAAGTCCATCCAGGTCAGGGGAGTTAGTTTGGAGACAATCCCAGTTGACAATGAGCAAGAGGCACAGTACACCCAGGACAGGTCACCAGTATGCCACAGGGGCTGACAGGGGCAATTCAGAGCCACCAGTTAACGTAGCCTGTATGTTGTGGGAGGAAGCCGGAGTACGTGAAGAAAACTTACACAAGCACACTCAAACTCCACAACGAAGGGACCCTGTTGAAAGTGAGGTTTGAACCTGGAATCTTCTTATTGTGAGGCAACAGTGCTATCCATTGCATCACCATGCCCCCTGTCATTAAAAAAAAAGCACTGAAATGTTTCTTTGACAGCAATTCTGCGGAAAATGTTCTGTCCTTCAACTATTTCTGTATTCCAACACTTAATGAAATGTCTCTGAAGTGAGCAGAAATCCTGCCTAAAGGGTTTAGAATATCTGTGAATGAGGAAAAATCAAAGATCAAAACCTGTAAGGCAAAAAAATATTATCTTCTTCACAAGAAGTACACATCATTGTTTCCCCTTCAGTCATGCATATAAACATTATTTAAAACCTTGATATAATGTCATGAATTTTTTTTAGGGTTCCAAGTATTTATTTTTGATAGTCTCTTTCTGCTTATGTATTTTTGTTTTCTGTTGTTTACAGTATGTTGGAAACTTGTTTTAGTATATTCAGAGTATTTACTGAAGCAGCATATTGTTTCCAGTTAGTTTTTTTTCTTAATGAAAAAATCACATAGGTTAATAAAAAGCAAGTAAAGTCAAGGTTTTAAAGGGAAACCTGTTGTTTATTAAATCTTAATTTCCCCAAACCTCAACAAATGAGATGCAAGTTTCTGTGTTATGATCCTTAGGTTCTTGGAGACAGTTAGCAAGTGCAATTTTATAGCTAACATGTTGGTAATTTATAAGAAAAGGCAATCTGTGTATCTGGGGGTGGCAGAAAGAGGAGGAGCAGGCAATATGAGTAGTAATTTTCTCAGTTAAGAGCCAAATGGCAGACAGACTGTTGCACTGCGTGCTATCTTGGAGATTTGCACTCTGCTCGTTTTCTGACTATATTTCCCTGCCTGTGTGTCTGAGGATGTGTGCGTGCAGTTTTGTGTGCATATGCACGCAGCTGGGTAGTAGCTTTACAGTATCGGCATCATTTGAGCATTTCTGTTTATATTGTACTGGAAATTATGAAGACTTTATTGCCTTACAAGAGCTCATATGTACATACTGGTACATGTTTGTTCATACATTAAAATAAAATGACTGGTGGGTTTGTGTGTAGCTTTATGTGTTAGGGCTTTCATGTGCCTTCACTTGTGTATTTGTACTTATGTGAGTGAATATGTGTGTTTTAAACGAATCTTGGGAGGCTTCATTGCACTCATCAGGATATCGGTGTTGAGAAATGGCAGTGTCAGTGAAGTGACAGTTGTGTGTGTGCGTGAGGATTGATAGACCCGAGTCTGACAGCAGCCATATTGCGCAGAAGGAGAGGGGTAGAGGGAGGAACAGGGGGAGGAGTATTGTAGCCCCCTCATCCTCACAGGTTAATATTGACACAGCTGAGGCAGATACAGTGCCTGAAGCGCTCATCAGTCACTTTCAGTGGACCCACTCACACACACACAGGCTCTAGCAGAGAGAAGGACCACACACGCTATAACACGCAGTACCCAGGAGGAAAATACAAACACAGGTTTAAAGTCTGATAGATCATTGAACTAGTTGAAGTCAGGCCACATAAAAAGAAAAATCTTTGCATGAATGTCAGATACAGTCATGTGTGTCAAACTTTTTTAATTTAACCTTCCTCCATTATTTTTACTATAGCTATCTTTTTTGTTTAAAAGTTCTACTTAAATAAGCACAGAAACAATTTTGAGAGCTTCACAAAACAAACAGTTGTACAACAAATCTAGATTAATCAAGCAAGTATGTTTTCAAAAGTATCACTTTGCACACTTTGTGTAACCCTGCGTTGCAAATTATAGCTGCCATAACATTGCTGTTAATCATTTCAGAGACAAAGAAAAAACAAGTTCCCTTGACAAACAAAACAATTAATTAATGCAACTTTCCATCCATCAATCACTGTGTGTGTCACTGAATTACCATAATCTGTGCATAGTGGCTGTTTTAAGAGCAAACAGTTAATTTCCAAACAATAAATCACAAAGTGTCTCTCTACCCCTCTGTGCGGTTTGACAGCTTCATCTCCCATTGCTACAAATAAACTTGAAACCTCTTCAGTTTTACTAAAAAATTATGAATGATATGCACAATAAAAGACAGGGGTTTGACAAAGTTCCCTATACAGCTGTAAATAACTTAACCAGTTTCAGACTTATGATAAAATCAATAATATAATTAATTATTAAATCTATTTCAGAAAAGTTGGAATGGTGAGCATCTGTCCCACAGTTTGTCTTACACATTCCAGATGCTGATTCTTTTTTCTCTCTTCCAGGACTGGCATGGTTATGTGGAGGGGCTGAAATTGTTCAGTCATCGCCATGGTTACGAAGGTTTGGTGGTTCTCCTATCCATCAATGATACAATTCACCATCCTCGCCAGCAGGTGGCTGTCTACTCAAACAACACAGATATCCTGAATCAGGTAAATCAGCCATACAGTAAGACCAGCACACCGGCATGTAAGTTGAGTGAGACACACGTACCTCTTTGGTAGGCAAAGAATAAATCAGTAACTGGTTACTGCAAATTAATTTAAAAAGAAATAATTTTGTTTCCATTTATCCATTTTACTGAATCCCTACATAAAACAGATTAGTAAGGACAGCAGCAACAACTTGACAGCAGGTTTGTTGAAAGGAGTGGGTAGTTAGGGTGAGTCGCAGTAGCAATGCTGGTCAGGAGATGCAATTAGGCAAATGTGTGAAACTCACTCTTGTCAATTTGTTTCCAGAAATGCAATTAAAAAAGAAAATTAAATGTAGGATATTAAGATAAAAGGACTTTCATTGCAGATATGCTGTGAGTTGGAAGAGTCTTCTAGCTGGTCTCTTTCTGGTGAACTGGAGGATAAGGAGCGTTTCCAGGTCTACCACATCCCTCTGAATACCCCATCATCCTCTGGTGCACCTCTACTGCTAAAGGAAGAGATCAAGGGTCTTCTCAAGGACTTTGTCGACTGCCGGAGCTCTGTATTAGCCTGCCACCCTAGCAGTAGGACCTCTTCCACAGAGGGAGTGGCTGGAAGTGTGGAGTTCTCCCAAGGATCATCTGGTATCAATGATATGGATGGTTCTGACATAGAGAGAGCCGAGGGGGGCAGTGGCGATGTGGTGGCAATAGCCAGGTATTAAATGCATCCTTGAATCCAGTGTCAGTGAAAGTCATCAAAACATGAAATTTGAGATGATATATTCTTTATTCGTGATATTTAGGCAAACACTGACACATTTTAATGGCAATGTTGTTTTTATTTCCATAAACAGGGTGATAGCAGATGGTCAAGAGGACACAGGAGGTGTAGGAGTCAGTGCTGGTGGGGAGCTAGTCAGCCCTGACAGTGGTATGACCACCATCCGCAGCAGCCGCTCCTCCAAGGAAAGTTCGGTGTTCCTTAGTGATGACAGTCCTGTTGGTGACATTATAGCTGGAGGAGGTTCAACAGCAGGGCCAGGAGGACTCTTCCTGAGAAACCCCTCTCCCCTGGGGTTGTCATCTCTGTCCCCTCCCATCCCACCTGAGAGAAGGAAGCACCTCTCTAGCAGAAACAGGAATGACAACTGGGACCTGTTTAGTTTTGACCCAATACACAGCAGTGACCACTCTATTCCCGGAGGAGGGGAACTGGTAAATTCTGGAGTAAAAGGAGATGGAGAAGAAAGAAGAGAAGGGAGCTCCAGCTTATCAGAACTTGAAGAGTTGAGCTTGCTGGATTTTTCTGCTCCCAATTCACTAGGCAGGCTTGACAGTACCATTTCTTCAACTGAACATCCTGGCCAAATTCATGGGAATGACATGAATGACACAGTGGTCCCGCCAACTCCGGTCAACAGCCTGGTTGGTAGCCGCCCACCAAGCAGTTGCGGGGTCAGGTTCTTCCCAGAAGATGTAGTTGAAAGGATCAGCTGCCTACAGCACAAGGACAGTGTTTCATCATCCTTGTCAGAGACCTGGGATGAACTTGGCTTTGACACACAAGGAGCATTGTCCTCAAGTGATAATAACACCTGGAATAGGGCCAAGGAATCTGAAAGCCCACAGAATATTGTGGAGGAAGTTGGAGGCAAACAGCCAGTTGCTGACATGACAGAAAGAGAAAGCCGAGAAGAGATCTTGAAGTCAGACAATGCACACCAGAGGGCAAGGACCCTTGAACCTCAGCTTAGTCTGATCACTGAGCAGACTGAATCATACGACAACTGGACCCCAGAGTTTGTACTTACAGATCAATGGGGCCCTGTTACTTTGGCTGATCTGCAGTTGACACCACCAGAGGAGGAAGTAACTGGAAAATGCAAAACTGGTATCACTGGAGTGAAAGAAAAAACATTATCTTTGTCAAAAAACAAAGCAGCCCTAAACACTTTAACGCCAGAAACCTCTACAGAGGAGAACAAAGGAGTCCACGGAGAAAAAGGAGATCGGCAGATGGAGCTTCTGGACTTTTGGACATACTCCGCTCAGAAGGGATTTCTGAAATCTGATAGCGGAACCACCACGTCTTACCCTGAGTCTCTAGATATGTGGAATATGACAATCCGGGATGACAGTCTGTCACCTCTCACAACCCCTGACAACTTATCTGAAAACTCAGGTTCTTTCTATGGGATCCAGCCCAATGTTGTAGGTGCCACATCTGTGGAAAGTCCAATAGGATTCTCAGATTGTGGAATGGAGATGTGGAACACCACCATTCGGGAAGACAGCTCTTCCACGATAACAAGCCCCGGAGGACCTGAAAATGAAAAGAACCTTAGTCACACGGGGTCAGTGGATGCTACTTATTCTCCCGAGGCACATGCAACAAAACAGGTGGAAGAAGAGAACGCTATAGTAGAGGAGAGAGGTATGAGTAAGGCACTTAGTCAGACATCTGAAGAAGTGGGGTGGAGAGGTAATGAACCCAATGTGAAAATAGTCATAGAAGTTGCAGGAGATGAAACACAGGATGAAGAAAGAGGGGATGATAGCAAGCAAAGTGTTCATAGCCAACAGTATGTAAACCAGAACTTATCTGAATATCCAGAAGATGAAACTTCCCCCTACCAAGGCACTAACATGTGGGACTTCCCTGTTCTTGGCATGGTCACCTCCACCTCAGAATATGACAATGTGGGCGATGGTGCATGGAGCCTGACATCTTCCCCTGAGACCTATGCCAGCCCTGTAGTAGACATGGTACAGCTAGAGGGGCAGTCTAGCCCGTTTATAGCTTTAACCAGTCCTATTCAGAGACATGAGGGGCAATATCAATATGAGGAGGATGATGCATTGGGAAAGACTGAATACAGGTCAGTAATTTCAAATAATGAGCAGCCAGTCAACCAAGTGTTCCTGTTTGAGGGAACAGCTGACTCGTGTCACCTCACCAGGAGTGGGAGACATTCAGTTGAGAGTAAGGCTGAGGAGACTGACTGGACAGAGGAACCCAGTGACCATTCCCCATTTATTCTGGTGGACTGCTCATCCACCACACAGCTAAGTTCAGCCAGTTATCATTCAAGTCCAGGAGAAGCTGCTGAGAATCGAATCCAGACTGAGCAATCGTCATCCCCGTATCATGTGAACTGTAATGATCTTCTTTTGGGGAAACATGACAACTCAGAATCAGCTTCATCATCACATGATCTGCCAGTCATAATGGACCGCAGTGAAGACGGGCCTGTCAGTGAGAGCCATGGGGGCCCTACCAAAGAGAGCAATGGAAAGGTGGAGGCCAAAATAACAGAAACACTGTCTCTGAGCTCCAGCTCTGGGGGGGAGAGAGACACACTGAAATATAGCCCTGACAGCTTTCACCCAGGTAGCCGAGATGAACTCAGGTCTAATTCTGATGGAGATTCATCATCAGGCCTAGAAATGGAATATATCATTGTGTCGGGAAAAGTGAGAGAAGGTTATGATAGGACTAGACAGGGCAATGGGCAATCAAAAGGAACAAGAACATCCATGGAGACACTGAGCATGCTTTCCTATGCTGCCACAGTACTGCAGTCTCAGGCCCAAGCTGCACACAGAGAGCACCAGGAGAACACAGATCAAAGCAGGCAAAGCCAAAGGATCAGTGATAGTGGCTGTACACTTAGTGCAGGTCCAGAGCAAAATCAAGCTGTCTTATCCACTCATTACCAAGCTAGTCCTGATAGTGCCACTGAGAAATTCATGGCACCAGAGATGATCAGTCCCAGCCAATCAAAAAATAAATTTGAAGCATTTCATCAGTCAGATTCAAGAGAAACAGGTTGCAGTCAAGCACAGGTAGAAAGAAACTATGAGGATAAATCCCACATTGTGGCTCGAAGTGTGTCTCCATCGTTAAGATATCAGTTAGATGATGTCCTGAAAACCAGAGAGGAGGTCTATGTCCATTCACAGATCTCAATGGAAGATTCAGATGAGGATGAGGGTGGGCAGTCACCCTCTGCACTGCCATGTCCTACTGCTTTGGGTGACTTTCAGGTCTGGGGGGCTCAGTTAGGGAGTCGGGACACATCTCAGACTACATCAGAAACACAGTCCCCTGTACTCACCAACAGTTCGGTCTCACACAGCAGCTCTTTAATTGGCACCCCATTAAGTGACTCGGGTGTTTCTGTTGAGAGAGGCCTTGCGTTACCATTTTCTGGAGATTTAATGGAAGAAGAAAATGATGAGGAAGAGCAGGAGGAGGGAACTGATAGAGAGCACACTACAGTGCCAAAATGGACTTCAGCAGTACAAAGTGAGAGGGAGGAAAGACAGCGATTAGGCTCTTCTGATCTGCTGAGTTTCACTGAGGAGGTGATGGGAGCTGCTTCATTTCAGCAAACAGATTTACAAACACTCCAGCCAAAGAGGGACAGGTCCCTACAGAATACTGCAGATTACTATAATGGACAACCCCTAAGGACTGTTGAGTGTGAAAAATGGTTGACTGAACATCAGATTGGAGACCATGAAGCTTCCCAACATAGCTATTCACCTGTTTTAAGGTAAGTAACGCACCTTAAATCATATGGTTATGTCTTACACTCAGTGCTATGTGAACTGTGTTTGCTGCTGGGTTTTTGAGTCTGTACAGCTTGCTCAGCGGAGCCTGTATTTCAGAGGAATATTAGCTATAGATTGTCAAAAAAAAGCTAAAGGGCCCTCCTGAGGAATTGAGTCTGGTGTGTGGGTGTGTGTGTGGGTGTGGGTGTGTGGGTGTGTGTGTGGGTGTGTGTGTGTTGGATGGATGAGTGATGGACTGAGACTGACATAGAGGATGTGTCTGTATTTGTGCATGAGTATGAAACAAAACTGTGTATCTGTATGTGGGTACGCTCCATGTGTTTGGCGGCAAGCTTTGATCTACAGCCCTGCGTGTGTGTGTGTGTGTGTGTGTGTGTATATAAACCTGTTTATGCCTCATTAAATATGCATTACCTGCCTCATTACAGCTGGAGCCCCACCACAGCTAATGGAAACAGCTCCCCTAGTTCTCTTACAAGTTGCAGTTGTTGGTGTTTGCATGCGGACCTGTGTGTGTGTGTGTGTGTGTGTGTGTGTGTGTGTGTGTGTCTGTGTGCATAGTTAATGCACAGTGCATCAGAGAATAAAGCCTAGCAAAGAGTACTTCCTGTAATGTGTCAAAGTTTTAAAAATATTGTTTGCCAGGAAGACTGTTTATCATTGCAGATGAGTATTACAAAGTGGTTTTATATGAACAAATGACATTTGATGTTATATATATATATATATACAGATTGTTAAAAGTGCCCTGTGGAGTTTTCTTGTGTGTGTGTTTCCTTAAGGCCTAACAAGCCTGCTGAATGCCTTTCCTTCCTTTGAAAGATTTTTTTTTGTAACTTTCTAGGCCTAAATTGTTTACATCCATGTCTGCCTTGCTAGCGATCATCTTTGGCCAAAAGCTCCATAGGGTACCTTTAATGTGAACCTCAGATATTTAACACCAGCCTAGTGAACACGCTGTAAAAATTACCCAATGACAAGTTGATCTTGCAAGCGAGTGTGGTTGATGTATTGATTAAACCCCCAAATTGTTGGATGGCTGAAGTTCACTGTACTCTTATTTGCATTTACACTGAATTTGTCCTCCTCTCTGTCCTGATTCCTGATCCCCTGTTCCCTGAAAAAGTAGACACCAAGATATGCTATCCCAACTGTCATCCCAGCCAGCCAATGAGAATGCTGCCTACCTGTGGACAAGCACTCAGACTGTAACTCAGGGTCAAACCCAGCGTGGCTACAACTACCACCACATTGACCAAAGAACTGAAAACCAGAGCGCCTACTCAGTTGGAATAGATACTAAAACAAGCCACCAGCTAAACACCGCAGACGTCTATGCTGAGTTTATAACTGACACCACAGCTATACAGTATGGATCTGAGCCGGCTGAGAACTATTATGAAACTGGATTCAGTGCTGAGTACAGCTCGAATGATCCAGGATCCAAGTTTCAGTATGTAGCTGAAATCCAGTATGGAGATGACACCACCTCCATGTGCGCTGATGACCAGAGTCAGTATGAGACAGACCATGCTCATTACCATTTTGACGAGCAGCCGTTGTACCAATCAGATATCCAGCCTCAGAGGGAAGATCACGCTCGTTATGTGTCAGAGGGATATGTTCAGTATCTCCTTTCAAGGTGAGTTTTCACAGCACTGTGTAAATGGTCCCTCTACAGGTATCAGCTAAATGCCTGTCCCCTCTGCAAGAAAAGTTATTTCAGATAAAAGTTTTCTTTCACTGTTTTTTCTAAAAAGCTGAAACAGGATTATAGGCTGTTTTCTGTCCATTATAAGTGTGTGAAAGAGAGAGACACTGTAAAGAACAAACAGCATATAGGTTTGCCAAAGGCTATATGCTGCACTACTGTCTTTTACCACACAGAGGCAGCACAGATCAATTTAAAATGAATCAGTTATTTAGATATCTTGTGTTTTTCTTTGTACTGTACCAAAGCAGCCAACAACTGACATGTCAAGTCCAAATGAGAAGGTGTATTTTATTTGGCAGTGTATTATTTACTGTAGGTACAAGAATGATTAAAGAAGCAGGAATAGGCCTGTTGCTGATGTACATCCCTTCCCAACATGGCTTCCATCGGAAGGGATCCTGTTCTTAATTGAATGTCTACATCAAAAGTTATAATCTGCACAGCAATTTAATTGTTCCTCGTTAACAGTTGCATCATTGTACGTGCTCCCACCACTTTGTAATACAGCCCCTCTTTGGGATGTGCATATACAAGTGGCATACCCTTCCATAATCAAATGGTCATGTGACTTGATTGTGGAAACAGCATTTCAGTCCCTCATGCTGGGAGAAGAGAGAGTGAGTGTAAGGTATGTGTTCTCAGACAGAGATTTAAAAAAAGAAAGAAAAAAAAATGACTGTATGGTTGTGTCTGTAATCATATGGACTGGTTTCTCTGTTCTGCTCCACTCTATTGTTAGCAGGCCTTATGCTAATTAGAGTTTGTTAGAGGGGCTTTGGTTGGGGGAGGCTAGCAACACTGGTCAGTATTGTTTCCTCAGCCCACACGAGCAGCCTGGGGATGAAGCAGTGAGTCGCTCTCTTTCTGTTTGGTCACTTCTGTGATCTTTTACATCCAGTTAGACAAATGAACACATTTTAAACTCTTCTTTATCTATTGTCATGGGAAAAGTTGTTCTTTTTTTTTCAGTAGATGTTTGTCTTTGGCTTATTTGGCCCAGTACTATGCATAGCCGTCCCTATGGTGGCAGTGCTGATAGCAGTGATATTTTATGTTGTGGTTCATTATTGCATTTCTGTGCCTCTAAGCAGACATCCCCAACAGGGAGACAGTGCAGGAGGGATGATGATGAATATGGCCTCCAGTGAGGAAGCTGCAGAGGAGATGGAAAACACAGAAGGTAAATAAACAGATGAGCTGAACTTATATTTCTCCTTTTATTTAAACTCTTTGGATCTGTTAGTGTTGGTGACTTTTGCACCTAGGATTAGAGGTACAGGCCTAATGGTCAAATTTTAAACTCAATAATAATATTGCTTTGTCAAGGTTTAAGTAACTGTGCTTAAGTATTTATTTATTATGATTTAGGAGGATTATTTGGATTGGCTGAGGGTAGAAGTGTATCATATTCATATAAACTTTTCTACTTTGTCTTCTGTTGCCATAGTGTCATGGAAGATGCTCACATGATAACAGAAATGTCAACTTTTAAAGTAATGATCTTCTTGTTATTCTTTCCTTGTTTCTGGATTAGTTAAACATTGTCACATAAGGGAAAAATTTGTGGAACTACAAACTTTCTTCAAAAAACTAAAACAATTAAACCATGTCTCTCTGTCCAGACCCACCGTCCTCAGCAGATCTTTCCGGCGGGTCCGGTCAAAGGAGAAAGTTGGCAGCTCCACCGATGAATGTATCCCTGAACCACAGTGAGGAGTCTCTTCTCTCAGAAGATGCCCTGGACACAGGGGATGAGGCCTTGGATACTGGAGACGACCTGGATGTCAGCATAAATGAGCTGAACACACCTGATGAGGGAGACTCACTGGAGTTCAACAGACATGGTGAGACACACACCTGAAGATACAACACAGATGGGAGATGACGCTCACATGAACACAAACACACAAAACACATAGTAGCACACATGCTGTAATGTACAAAGATGCTTTAAAATCACAGTGTAAATCAATTCAAAATGTTAATATTTATTTATTTATTGCCATTTAATCTCGTAAAACATTTCTATCTTTGTCATAAACAGGGGATGAAGCTAATCTGGGTGCAGGAGTAACATCGGCTAGTGCTGTTGCAGGACACGGAGCAGCTGTGGAGGGCAGGGACAGTAGGCTGTGGAGGAGCGTGGTGATTGGAGAGCAGGAGCATCGCATTGATATGAAGTGCATTGAGCCATACAAAAGAGTCATTTCTCATGGAGGTACATAAACTTGAATACTAAAAATCCAAGCCTACCAATCTTTCATGTGTGATTGTAGCTTTTAATCATGTGCGCTGATACCCTCCCTCTTGATGTTCTCCATTCAGTTGTATCTTGGTACTTTACACATATTTCCCTGCTGATTTTACGCTTTATGATTTAAAGGAAACCACTGGTTAAAAGCATTTGTTTTTGTCTGGTTTAAATATTTCTTATAAATATCACTATAATCCAACACTGTAGAACCATGACTGCCAGACTCTGTGTGCTTATGAGTATGTCCTCTTTGTATGTGCTATATGTTTTCAGGTTATTATGCTGAGCAGAATGCCATCATCGTGTTTGCAGCATGTTTCTTACCGGACAGTGACTGTGACAATTACAATTATGTAATGGAAAACCTTTTTCTGTAAGTAAACTTTTACTACATGGCCAAACATATATGTACATGGCACACGGTGTATCTCGACACCCAGACATTGCACTCGCACTGTATATGATGGCAAACATCTCAGCATTCCATAAGATTATGGAACCCAGCTGCAGGAATCTTGTTGCCATTCAGCCACAAGAGCATTAGTGAGGTCAATAAGGACTCAGTGCACACTAAACTCAAAAAACCATTTATTTATGGACCTGGTTTTGTGTATTAGCACATTGACATAGGAAAGGGCCTTCCTCAAACTGTTGGCAGCAAAGTTGGAAGCACTCCTTTTACAGTATTAAATATTTCCTTGTCTGGATCTAAAGGGCCTAGCCCAAACCATAAAGAACAGCCCCTGGCCTGAACTACGCAATTCAATAAGGAATTTTGTATATTACACCGTTCAGTTAACAAGAAAATTGCGTTATAGATTTTTGTTGCAGTTGTTACTGTACTGTATAAACATATGACAGTCTAATACAGTGTTTTTTATTAACTGTCTGTCTGTCTGTCTGTCTGTCTGTGCAGGTATGTAATAAATACCTTGGAACTTATGGTGGCAGAAGATTACATGATTGTTTACCTGAATGGCGCCACACCCCGCAGGAGAATGCCTGGTTTTACTTGGATGAAAAGGTGCTACCAAATGATAGATAGAAGGTAACAGTCACACAAACAAGTGGCCAGCAAATGTCTGCAATGTTTAACACAAACTCAAACAGTCAAAGAACCTCTCTCAGGCTCTTATTCTCCTGCAGTAGCACAAATCTTATGGGGGTTTTTCTTCTCTTCTGTGATTGGAGTACATATCACATGGATGTTAGGTTCTGATGATGTTATATTGTACTGTTCTTCAGAAAGCTTAAATGAAGAATTGTGTTGTTTTAACAAAGAGCAATAGAATTCAAAGTTCATCTTGAATGGGGCAAGGGAATCCTAAATCAACAGCACCTAGCCCTAAATTGCTATTTAGAAAAATAACTAATCTTGTATGAAAAAATTACACATGCTCAGTTGACGTTAATATACACTCACCGGCCACTTTATTAGGTACACCTGTATAATTGTATGTAGTTCAGTGCAACACTTCCACCTTAACATCTGTGTTTATGAAGCTCAAAATGTTTGTTTTTGGTGAAATTGTCATAAATGTATAAATTCAATTGTATGTTTATTATTGAGGTCCCAGTTAAAGATGGTGTTGTACTGGACTACATTACAATTAGAGCTGTCTATATTTTTGTCCTCCCAGCTACATACATGAGAGCGTCAGAATATTAGGAACACCTCTGAATATAGAAGAAATTAATGAATATAGAAATAATAAATGGGTTCGAGAGTGGAGCAGAGCGCCCACTGTGTCCTGAACAACGTCACTGTGAAAAACCAGGAGCTCTCCCTATCAGTGTTATTCTATTCCAATTCTAAGATCTACTTTATGCTTGCCAGCCGCTATCAGTGAAGCTCTTACTAATCTTTTTGCACCACTTCTGCCTCTGCTCCTGATCCACAGACTGAAGAAGAACCTTAAGATGTTCATCATTGTTCATCCTTCCTGGTTCATACGGACTTTACTAGGAATAACCAGACCCTTTATAAGGTCTCGTGGTTGTACTCATGTGTATCTCATGTGTAAAATGAATTTCCATGGGCATATTTATGGAAAAAAAAAACCTGTGTGATTTCTGTTTTACAGCTCAAAGTTCAGCAGCAAGATTAAGTATGTGAATAGTCTGCAGGAGCTTGGAGAAATCATCCCACTGGAATATGTCCACATTCCAGCCAGTATTGTCAAGTGAGTCAGCTGCACCAATTTTTAACATATGTATCTACACTTAACTTTTTGTGGCCTCACAAGGTGGAAACAGCACTGTCTGCATTGACATTTTCCTCTTTTGTATACGGGTTGTTTATATTACTTTATTATTATTTTTCCACAATGTCACTTAAGCAGGAAACCTTGCCCTTTTTTAGCTTTAGGTAACAGCCTTGATTTCATTTTCTGCAGTGAGTGGCACAGAGCCATGTTGCCCAATAAACTACTGTACTTTGCCTCCTCTTAGTGTTAATTTTGCCAGCTATGTTTACATTTAGTCTGCCATTGTTGGATTTAGCCAACTTTAAGATAAGCCACGTAGGAATAGGTTGTATGACTGAGAATGCTGTTTTATAGGTTAGTTTTGCAGGATAATGCTATTTATTTAAGCAATACAGTCAGACATGAAAGAGGATAAAACCACACCTTTGGGAAGTTGCAACATCAGCAATCTAATGCAATCTGACTCTCTGGTGTCTAAAAAGACCCTAACCAACAGGTATAACAGGCCTGCAATAAATCCTACCCTTATATTGTTCAGATTTGTCAGGGCTGTGCCAGAAAGGTAATAGTATAATTTACCAGATTTACTCTAGAAATACAAACAAAATCAGCAAACTTTTATTCCAAGTGCCTAAATTGGGCATGCTTATGCATCTCTCACTCTGCCCCAAGGTATGACGAGGAGATGGGTATACATAAATTTGCATGCCTGAGGTAACTCTAACCTGCCTGTATTAATAAGTTGGTTGTGTAAAAGTTGCTGTGAAAAATCCTTCAGTGCTATTCTCAATGTCTTATGCTGGGACTAACCTTTGACTGACCTTTGGCTGCTTCTTATCCAACTTACAATGAGCCAGATATTCATTTTCTTACTTCTCTGTCTGTGCTGTGGCTTTCCCTGTAAACTGGTTTATTTCACCACTCATCTGTGACATATTAGCAGAATTCAAATGAACATACAGTATACAGTATTTTACCCTGAGGTCGGGGCATATGCCAAACAGAAAAGCACCTATTTCTTTGTCAGAGTGAATGGTTGCAAAGAGTTCAGACTTTCAGTATAGTGTACAAACCAGCAACACACACTGGACTTTGTCATAGATGGAAAGAAAATATCGTCAGTGATAATGAGTGGGAGATGCAGTATTTCATCTGCAGCTGGCTAACAGTAACTTGAGTTAAGGTGAGTTAAAGCTACTATCATAAAGCATTTTTGCAGAGTAGTAAAAAGCTTCACACTTTGTACAACACCCACCCACAGTCCTCCTTGAGACTTTTTGCAGCACTGCAACAAAGCCACTCTGCTTTGCTAGTGAGAGGACAACCATGCACACGGCTACTGGTTACTCATCAGGAAAGGTAGTAGTAAACGTTAGAACACTTGTGAGAACAGTCTCTGTGGAAGATAGACTACCATATCAGCTATGATACATGTGGATGCTCCCTAAAACATATACAAACACCCACTTGCTGGTGCTTTGGTGAAAATAGAATTGAGATGAGAACTTGAACAAATTAAAGCTATCTATAATTCTATCCGTTATCTAAGGAGGTATGTGTTATACCTCTGTCTTCATGCCTTTTGCATTTATTAAGCCTAACTGTAAGTATAGCCTAACTTAGCTTGTAAAAAGCATCTAAGAGTAGAAAACTGACTCTTTTGACTTTTTTTTTTATTTTTTAAAATTTTGCACCCTATGCATTGCAGTGAATGTGTGCCTAACTCCCTTGACCTACAACACCCCCACTTAACAGCACTGATGCTTGTTTTTCTTTCTTTTCATTTAACCTTCTGTGGCAGTGTTGATTTAGGCTACTAATGCCCAGCTACTGCATGTGTACTGACAATGTGGTCGCTCCTGTCACTTGTTACCCTCCCTCACTGACATTTGCTCTCCAATCCAATGCTAAACCAGACTGGACACAGATTTGCAAGAGACAACAACAAAGTAAGTCATTGTTTTGCACCAGTGACTGAATTTAACAGAGGCTACTGAGATCTACAATATTAACTGAACATGAAAACATTTCACACATTAAAAGAGGCACTGGTCCAAACTGCATAGATACAGGTTAATGTTATTCATTTTAGTGGTGGTTTAACATCATCATCTCCTTTGGTAATGTAACAGGTTATAAGTCTGTATGAATAGTTTTTCTCTCTTTAGCTCTGTCTTCTGATTACAGAATTACCTGAGTAGCCTAATATCTAAGTCAACTAACTGCTTCTAAACCTGCCTCAGTGACTTGAAACCTGATCAGTGATAAAGTGCTGATTAACTAACACATGGACACATACAGGCACTGATTTGCCACAGAAAAACAAGAGGTGAACATCATGTGGTTACGGTGTGTTTTACATTACACTGACACTGAAAGGATATAAGTTTACATATTTCCATCCTGATTTTGCTACAGTGGAACCATACACTGTTTTGACTCACTGAGCTGTCCATGACAGAATGAAGAAACAATCGTTTAACTACATTGCTGCACCTTTTTTTGCAAAGTAACTCATTTTTTTAACAGTGGATCCACCCTATAAATTTAGATGCAGTCCTGGTAGCCACTGAACATATGCTGATTTTGCAGTGTTTGCAGAGCAACATTGTCATTAGGCAGAGATTGTCCCATTTCATTTACAAGTATAAAAATATGAGCATCTGCAACTAGCATAGTTTAGCTTTTGCAGATGTGTGTACTTTGTGACAGCTGTTTACTTTATGATCTTACCATTATTTTTATTTTCCATTTATTGTACAGTTGTCATCAGCAACCCCTATGCTTTAAATGTTTAATTCTTTCTCTGTCATTTTCTCTCTCTCACTCAGAGCCGACAAGAAGGGGAACTCAGCTGTCTGACAATCAGAAGATACCTGGCTGCTGGCTGTCTTGCCCCTGCATTGTGCTGTACTCTACCACAGCATGTCTGAATATAAACAAGCCTGCAGCATGATGTGTATTGCATATAGCTGTTACACCAACAGCTAGCAATGAGTTAGCATGCTGTGGTTAAAAACACCAGGCAGTTGTTTGTTCGCTGAGGAAAGGACTAACCTGAGGGTGCTAAATAAAATACAGTATTTACAGTGCAGCGGCTGTCAACTGAGCTAAGACGAAGATGCATTTGGTAGCTTCTGTTTTCTTTGTATTCATCTTAAATTTCAACACTGCTTTAATTCCTATTTCTTTCATGTTACTAACTTTCTTTGCTTCACCCATGCTTTAGTTCTCCCTGTCAGTTCCTAGCTGTACCTTCTGTGAAACATGGTAGTATTACAGTAAATGTGGATTCTCTGAAGCCATAACAAGGTCGTGAACAAAATGTACTCACAAATATAGATTTGTATTCCCTGGACACCTACGATGGTATTGTGTTATAGCTCTGTCACCACTATAAGGCCAAGGGATTCTTAGACTCTAGTTTTGTTTAGAAAAATATGATATACTCATCACTGCACCTGTTCAGTTTGTAATATATGAAATGGAGCAGCAAAGCTGGATTTTAAATAGTTTACAACGGTGTAAGTGGCTCCTATCACAGAGTTTTTACACAATATCTCATTTAACATCTCAGTATTAAAAGCTACAAATAGGGTATTTTATTAATACTGTATATCACTGTGAAAATACTTGGAATGTCATCATAAAGGTAGCAAAATAGCAGTTATCGCTAGTCTCACTGCAGTAATGTGTTGCATGTTTCCAGTTCATACAGTTTCAGGTTACTCTGATCTGCTTACCCACCCTAAAACAGGATTGTGTACATTTACAGTTAGTGCTTAGTTTTCTGGGTGTGTGTGAGAGAAAGAGAGAGAGAAACAGAGAAGGGTGATCAGAAAATACTGTATATTCACAACAGAGAGGGGTGATCAGAAAATACTGTATATTCACTAAAGAGTGCCTACTGTGCTGTTTGGGTGTGTCTAATTTTATTTGGTTTTTATAGTCTTTGTATACATTTGTTTGTGGCTTGCAAGATATCCGTTTGTTGTAAAATATATAAAATGTTTTACATCATTAAAGATGTTCCTCCTCAACAGTCTTTTCAGAAAATGTACCATACACCGTAATGCACATTACACATTGCGTAATATTCAGAGGTATCCTGTCTGCACTCACTTCTGTGTTTTATATTGAATCACAGTGAAATAGTTTTTTGATACTGATCAAAAACACTATAATGTCAATGTAAATACAAATTCAAACATGGCTCTGTTATGACCTAGGCATGTGTGGCTGCAGTTGAAACTGTCACACTGGCATTACTTGATGGTTTTACTGCTGACAGAAGCAACAGCATGAATGCAGAGGTACAAAGGAGCAGTCTGTGTGCTTAGGTTCAGACAAATGGACCAGAACACACTGGACAACATATCATTCAATGAGACAATGATTCTAAACATAGGGCCCAGGTAATCAAAGGGCTTTTGACTTCATGTGTATCTGCACAATTACTTTTACCCTCTTGCCATCTTACATGCTGCTGTACTCACCCAAAGACAGACTTGTTTCCAATGGATTTTAGAGTTTGGCTTGGATAACAACGGTGTGGTTTGGTCTCAGGCTTATGGTCTCTCACCTCTACCCTCTGGGGGGAGGTAGGGTGATGGAGCACAGATTTTCCATCTACCCTGAGATCAAATTCCAGCCGACATGAGTTATCCCATTTCTGTCACCAGATTGTTATGGAAATACTAAAATAATCAAGTCAAGAACAAAACTTAGGTGAAAGGAGTCAGTGCATACAGAAAGCAAATAATCTCTGTAGGCAAAGGGCCAAGCCAAACATGAGCGCTCCCCACTTATGATTTTGCTATCAAAGTATGTAGACATAACACCCTTGCATACAGGACGGTGTGCTCTGCATCGCCTCTGTCATTCTCATAACAAAGGCACCAGCCAGACAACAACACTGAACACACAGGTCAACACTAAGATTTAGCCACTTCCCTCTACTGTTGGACTTTTAACGATAGTTTAAACAATCTCAAACATAAAAAGATTCTTAATTTATACATGATTAATAACTGATTTTATATAATTTCTACAATTTTCCCCATAATAGTATCTATACTTTTTCTATTATTTTCAATTATAATTAGACAAACTGTCAGTAAAGAATGACTTCACAGTAGGTTATAGAACATCTGAAATACAGTAAATTGGTCATACTTACATTTACTGTAAGTAAATTAATATGTTAAAACTATTATATATAAAAATCTGGGAAAGTAGCATATGAGACAGCAGGCTATACGTCACCTTTTCTAGTACTTGCCCTGGTTTCCCATCACTCAATAGTAACACTTCGATTTTTATATCCAACTAGACAATATGCGTTCGTATTTTTCTAGATCGTTGAATGCATCATTTGTAGTTGCTATATTTCTTACAACTCTGAAAGGCAACACGTGACTCCTACTGGTCCGCTTTGGTCACGCGGTCAACGAACAGATGTCTAATGTACAACACATGTAGCACTAGTGTCACCGGTTCTCTGAGAGCTACACGGCTTCATCTTTAGCTTTAACGTTATACCGTAAGTGGACCTTAATGAAACCGGGGGAAGAGACGTTACAACACCAGGAATTACTGTACAACTTTGCTTAAAACAGCTTCAGGAAAACTGACTTTGAAGCTAACGTTAATTAGCTTAGATAGCATAGCAAGTGCTTTTTTTTTTTACCATCGCTGCTCAGTGACTAAGGTTCAACTTTAGTCGGGTAAGTGAAGCTAAGCTGTATCTAGCGTTAAATCCAAGAACGGGTATTGAACTCTACAAGAATAAGATTTCCGTATTGCAGGTTGCTGCTCGTGCTGGCTGGTTATCTGGTTCCGCCTTCTTGTGTTGGTCATTCTGTAACGTTAGCCACCAGTCATCGGGAACCTAGTCATGAAGAGCCTTCCGTACTTCTGCCGTGGAGAGGTCATTCGAGGCTTCGGGAGAGGAAGCAAGGAACTGGGAATTCCCACAGGTCAGTTAATCAAATTTCATTCATCTGTATGAGCTTTACACTAACCTTAAACCTAGCCAGCGTCGATACAGTTAGGTCAGTATGACTCAGTCTTTCTAACTTGTAGCGTGATCTTTATAAACATGTTTAACAACCACATAGCTGTGATAGTTCCCTAAATAAATGCCCGTAAGTTCATCTCAGACAGTGTGGCACATACTCTTAATTCATACTATTCGCTGGCCACCTAACGCGTTTACTGATACACATACTGACTAGCAACGTTATTGATAACACACCTTTACAGAATGACCTCCTCGCTGTTAAGAAGCGAGGAGGTCATTCTGTAACGTTAGCCACCAGTCATCGGGACTGTGAGCTGAGTAACGAGGCCTACCACATGATAAAAAAAAACTTATTTACAGATGTAATGATAATAATAATAGTAGTAGTAGCTGCGTTATGTAATAGTGACGTTTCCAGAAATGTCTTGGCAAGTCGAATCATGAGTGAAGAGACATAATGCAAATGAGCATTGAATTCATTATTCATCGCACGTTGTCACCTAAAAAATATCGTTCAGGTCTTTTTTAAAAGCTAGTCTCTTAATTGTCGTTTTTACCCTCAGACAGGGCGTGTTTTCAACCTTTCAACTTGGGATTCAGAGTATTTTATAATGAATCAGACTCTAGTCACGTTATTGAGTAATAGGGCACATTGACACACATCAGTGACGCACAAAATCCAGGAAACGGTGCCTTTTTGACAATTGCTGCAAATTATGTACAAGAGACATTTCCTTAAGACCCCACTGTAAAGTAAGAGCTTGATTTATCCCAGAAAGGGAACACACAGTTTCACTGAATGCAATGAACATATACATTTATTCTCTGGCATATACTGTCAGCATTTGCAAAGGAGGGTTGTGTCTCACCAAATGGAAACTGCACCAGCCTAATTTCTAACAATGTAGTAGAACATCTTGTGAATGATTTCTAGCCTTGGTTACCTTAACTACAAGTTCCAGGTTTCTCTATATAGATGCTATTCTCTGGTTAACTCCACCAGCTCTATTCACAGTCCCTAGATTGCCTGGACAAAAATCGCATGATAACATCCCCATAAGAACTACCACACACCAAAGTGTGATCTGGATCCAAGTAACATTCTGGATCAGCAGATCCAGAATGTTCAGATTTGCAAGGCTGATGGAAAACTTGCTCCTGTAACACAACAAATAATGCTACAGACTTGCAACTAAGATTAAATTTTAGCTGAAACATTGTGAATTCAGTGGGGTGTCAACAGATTTGATGTCTTCAGATTTACTAAGCTAGATCCTGAAGAAAAACACTACTACTAAAATATTGTTTTTCTTGAATAACTAATAATGATATCATTGTGATTCTAAATGGATTTCATAGTCAAGAAATCACTGTCGGGCAGCACGGTGGCACAGTGGTTAGCACCGTTGCCTCACAGTGAGAAGGTTCCGGGTTCGGGCCCCACCTGGGACCTTTTTGTGTGGAGTTTGCATGTTCTCCCTGTGCTTGCGTGGGTTCTCTCCGGGTACTCCGGCTTCCTCCCACAGTCCAAAGACATGCAGCTTAGGTTGATTGGTGTCTCTAAATTGCC